ATTCAAAGAGTCCCAAAGAAGCTGGATCCAAGGAAAAACATACCAAGACATCATAATTAAATTGTCCAAGATTAAAGATAAGGAGAGACTCTTAAAAGCAGCAAGAGAAAAAGGAAAGAGTTACCTACAAAGGAGTTCCTATTAGGCCATCAGCTGATTTCTCAAAAGAGACCTTACAGGCAAGAAGGGGCTGGAAAGAAGTATTCCAAGTCATGAAAGGCAAGGATCTACATATAAGATTCATCTAGCCAGCAAAGCTATCATTTAGAATGGAAGGACAGATAAAGTGCTTCCCAGATAAGGTCAAGTTAAAGGAGTTCATCATCACCAAGCCCTTTTTATATTATATGAAATGTTAAAGGGACTTATCTGAGAAAAATAAGATCAAAACTATAAACAGTAAAATGGCAACAAACTCACAACTACCAACAACCAAATCTAAAAAAAATCAATAAAAATTGATTATGCTATCACAGTTGTCCCAATTTTTCTTCATTTGTCCCCCTCCACCCAGCACCCTCCCAGTCCCTCAGGCCATCTCCACATCATTGTTCATGTCCATGGGCCATGTGTATAAGTTTAGAAAGTACAAATAGGTAGTTATAGAATAGTCATGGGGATGTAAAGTATAAGATAGGAAATGGAGTAGACAATTTTTCTAAAGAAAAATTTATTCTAAACTATAGTAATCTACCCTGGTTGGCATAGCTTAGTGGATTGAGCACAGGATGTGAACCAAAGGGTCACTGGTTCGATTCCCAGTCAGGGTACATGCCTAGGTTGTGGGCCAGGTCCCTGGTGGAGGCCATGTGAGAGGCAACCACACATTGATGTTTCTCTCCCTCTCTTTCTCTCTCCCTTCCCCTTTCTAAAAATAAATAAATAAAATCTTTTTTTTATGTCTATGGTAATCTCACTCAAGTCCCTGAACTTCAAGTATGTGGCAAGAGGGAGACAGAATATTTGGGAAATGTAGAGGGCAGAGCTAACCATAGAACCAGAAGAAGTTTGCCTTATTCTCCTGAGGATAATAACTAGATGAGTCTGTCATGAGAATGATACAGCCATGTCACTTGAAAATCTCTTGAGATTTTTGACACATTGATCCATTAAAATATATCTAAGATAAAGTCTACAGTTTAGAAAAGATACATTCTGTTAAGGCTACTCAGGTAGAAGTCAGAGTGGACTTCAAATAAACAAACAAACAAACAAAACAATCCCCTCATTCTCATTTAAGTACAATGCACACACCTTTTCAGTAGTAGAAAGACCTACTGCCTTTTGAACAGAACACAGAAAGGATATTTGCATCCTAGCATTTTACCCGGCTCAGCAGCGTTAAAGCTGGGAGGGAAGGTGAGTGGGTCCTGTGCTGCTGTCTTAGCTCAGCCACCGCTCATTTATATTTCCTGAACTGTCAGTCAGAACTCAGACCAAGACTTTTGTCATAACAAATAAGATCCATGGGTTCCACTTTCCATAAGAAATATTTGTAGATGCATATTATAAAGAAGAACTACTTTCTAAATAAGTAATGAATAGCTTGGAAACTACAGGCCTCTGGTCTCAAAAATGCTCACTGTGATCCTGGCTTTTGACCCAGCTTTCAGATAGGAATGTGTTTGGTGACAGATACCATAAAGCCCAAGCAACCTGCTTAAACACCTAAGAATTTGTCTGTGTCACAGCAAGAAGCCTGGGGCTCAGCATAATCTTCCACAGTGTGAAAGAAGGATAAACGTTCAGTTTATAAACACAGTCCCCAACTGTTGGGTATTATTTTGTTTCCAGTTAGGTTACTCTATTAAAACACCTGTAAAAGATGCTCAATGTCATAGCCAAGCATCTTCATATCTATGCCCTCATAGTGTAATTTCATACTGTGGAAGATTATGCCAAACCCATGCTTCTTTCTGTGCCACAGACTCTTGGGTGTTTAAGCCAGTGTTGGTTGGGCTTTACGTATTTGTCATGACATAAACGCCAGGTAAATAGCCACCGTAGCTGTTGCCCTCTGTTCCCATCACCTATTGCTGTATAACCAGCCCCTGCAAGTTCTAATGACCTAAAACCACACTTATTTATTTTGCTCACAATTCTCAATATGGGCAGAGCTCAGTGGCAAGATTTGTCCCGCTCCACGCAGGTCAGCTGGGAAGCCTGGCCAGGCCTGGACAGTCTACTTCCAACATGGGCTCAGAGGGCTCACTCACATGACAGACAGCAGGAATCTCAGCCAGAGCTGTTGCTGGGACCCTCGGTTCCTCTCCACATGGACTTCCCACAGTGCTGCTTGACTTCCTCACAAGTTGGTTGGGTTCCAAGAGTGACTATTTGAAATCACAGGAATTAAAAGCAGCCAGTCTCTTGAGACTGGGCCTAGAAACTGCCACAGCATCATCCAGGCTGTATGCTTTTGGTCGAAGCAGTCCCAGAGTCTGTGCGTTTTAAGGGAGTGGGCATAGACTCCACTACTCACTAGCAGGAGTACCAAAAAAAGGCATGGACATTTTAATCTACCATAATCTTCCACTGTACTGAGTCCTCCTAGACTTGTGCAAAAGTTGTGTTTGCTACAACCAGGCCATGCTCCGTTCCCTGCAGAAATGTGGAAGATGCCTCTCTGTCTCCCTGACTCTGTGTCACTTGGTGTCGCATCCAATAATATTGGAAGACGATGCTACCATTTAAAACTTCTTGGGGAGGGGTGGCTGGGTTGATGGTAAGTGGCATGGGCGATGGTTGGGAGATGGACATTAAGAGGTCAGTGGCTAAAGACCTTTGTGAAGTCTAAAGTCCTTTCCACCGGAGATCTCATGTTCTTAGACCCACATGCAAAGAGGAAGCACATGGTTCATGGTCCCATGACATACTGTGGTAAGATAGACAATAGATATGAAGCTTCCCTCATCTTACGGATAAAATGCCTGAGGCCCAGAAGGCTAGTCCATAGCCAGAAGACTGGTTTAAAAAGACAAAAAGACTCTGGAATCCAGAACAATGAGCACCCTTGAAGATGCATCCTGTTAAATGAAAATCCTTTTTCCGACTGAGCTCCTGAGTAGACTCGAGTACACAAATTTCAGCAGAGCTGTTAGGGAGAGCTGCATTGCTCCATCAGAGAAAGCATTTCCCCTAGAATTGTGAGCCTGGAAAGAGGTAGTGGTGGGGGGAGACAGAGGTGACCTGAGAGACCCCAATGGCCATGATCTTCCACCGCCCACCGTTCCTCAGTGGACCTGAAAATGATGGCTGGCCACCAACTGTTAGTGGGACCTGGAAAGGAGATATAGTTTCAAGTCCACATTAACTCCAGGGACAGGTATCTATGAAGGAGCTAGACACCATGGGAGAGTAAACCTCTAAGGATGGGCAAGAATTATGAGGAAGCCGTTGGGTTTCCACAATTCATGGAAAACTTATAATCTTGAGTTGTTAGCCAAACTACACAAGCAAGTGGCATAATTAGAGCTAAAGCATAGATCTTTTGATTCCTGTTTCAATGCTCTTTCCCCCCATAATGTGGTTTTATAGATACACAGAAGACTTCCTGGTGGCCAGGGACTGAAGGCAGCACAGAGCCCAGAGCAAGGTGCTGTATAAACAGGAAAATAAGCTCTGGATTCGAAAGGACCCTGCTTCTGCGCTAATTCTTTCTTGAATTTCTCAGCCTGATTTACCCAATTACTTTTATTATTGTCCAATCAGAAAACCACTATTAGCATAAATCAAATGCAGATCAGATCTGCTTCTGAATCTAGGGAACAAGTATACATTCTGGCCACAACTTTCAAAGGAGCCATATTAAAGTACTAAAAACACAGCACGTCTAATCCTTGCAGGCCTCTGAATCAAACCCCTTTGATCTTAGTGATGACACTCATTTGCCTGTGAGGATTATTACTCACAGGACTAGGTATTACTCGCAGGACTGGCTGCATCACGGGTCTCCATCCCCAGAAGGGAAAACCACCTGGGTTTAATGCTTCACCTGTCGGTGTCTTAAAGTTCTTAACAACTTTATCTTTGAATGTGTGTTTTATAAGTGAAGATTAATGGGATGACAGGGGCAGTACTGGAGGACTGGAGCCTCACTGCACACGTCGTCCTTCCCCCTGGGGACAGTCTCTTTGCTCTCCTGTCTGCTTCTCGCCCCTGCTCAGTGACCTCTGCCATCTGCCCCGGCAGGGGTCAGGACATAGCTCAGAGAAGGGTGCACTGAGCCACGGCTGAGGCCCAGTGCCTGAGGGTCTGTACTTGCGCCACACATATCCTCAGACCTCAACGAACTACACATCAAAGAGCAGATTAAAAACCAACAAAAGAAATACCATGACTGGTCAAGAAAAAACTTTATCCTGCTTTTTGAACAGGGAGACCAAATTTTCATTTGCACTGGGCCCCACAAATGACATGGCTGGCTCTGATTAGATATGCTATCTGGTAATCACTCGCCAATATTATTTTTAGATTCTTAACTAAATAACCATAACACATATGGAATAACAACTCTGATTTATGAAGTGTTTTATTTTTTTGCTCTCAAGAACTCTTAATATTAAACACAAAATCAGATATTTTCAATAGTTGGACAGAAGGGAAAAAACCCTCCGTACTACCCTTGCCAGCAGGTATCACTAACAACAGCAAGTCCGGACCTGCTGCTGTGACTTAACAATACGATGCATGAAATGGAAAAATGATGGAATATTTTTTCACTGAGGCAGCCAGGAAAAAAACCACTTATTTCTCCACAATAACAACAATTACTCCCTGTTTTCTATCACAGTATGGAAAGTTTTTTAAAAATCTGGTTACTTCTCTCCAATGTTGGTGTTTGCCCGTGAATAACTGCGGTGCTTTTCCACCATTTCTCTAGGACTGTGTTAAAAGAGCCACAGACCAGTGACAACAAAGGAGTCAAGAGGAAATGGAAGAAGTGATGTTTCACTTGTTTTCAGTTTCGTATCTGCATCATCACTTAGTATCTTTCTTACCTTAAGCTTGGCCAAAAGAAGTTCGTGATCACGAAGAAGTTTTTGGGTTTCATCTTGATTGCTACCGATTTCTAAAATATTGGGCTGTGATTCAGCCAGCTGAAGTTGTACCCATTTACCACACTAAAAATAAAAATGAAATGAAAAGCACTTTTAGTTCCTCTTGTTCCTTCCCCTTTACCCTTCTCCTTTTTTTTTCTTGAGTTTCCAGTTTTACTGTGAACACTTTATTCTTTTACACAGAGATGGGCCTCAATAAATTGAAATACAACAGGTCTAATATAAATCCATGCCCTGCCTTTTCCTCTTTTATCCTTAGGGTAAGTTCTTTTCTCTCGGCATGTTGGATTTAAATTTAAAATTCCCAAATGAGAAACATATACAATAGATTATATGCTATTGAATATTACAAAATTACAAAATAATCTGTATAACTGTACATTTTGTGAATGCCTTGTAGGCTGACCAGTGTCTTTCCATTGACCTTGGGAGTTCAACCAGAAAGAATAAACAACAGATGAAACAACTGATTTGCTTCTTGTTTCGAAGCTGAAACATATCATTTTCTAACTTTTGCTCTTGAGTATTCAATAAAGTATGCAGGAAAATGTCAGTAAAATTAGACACACGTGACCACTGCCATTTGGAAGCAGCCAACGTGTTTTCCATGCTCAGGACTTTCACTGCTCAGACACAACTGACCACTGCGTTTCCTGAGGAACTGCTTTTCTAAGAAGCAACAACTGATTAAGCAAGAGGTACCACTAACGGGCACATGCCCGCGCATGGTGAATTGCTGAAATGAGAAAAACATATGTCTATTCTAGATAATTAGTGTCCTGGGACGGTTTGGAAACAAGAGGCCCATATAGATCAGACATAGGCACTTCTATCCCTTTAAGAGGGACTTCGAACTTTGAGTCTCGGGTTTTACTTCACAAGGATGGCAGTGAGCTGGGGAGGGGCGGCGAAAGGAAGGTTCTTAGAAACACAGTTCAGTTAAAATAGGAATTTCCAGTGTCATTTCAGAGGGTTTTTCCTTATTATCTCTCTACCTCTGATTCTCCTATGATTTATTGCATATGCATAATTCCTTATCCTGCTCTAAAAATATTCCATATTTGAGGAAAAGAAAAGTTAACTTTTTTTGAACAGTGAGTTTGCCTCTTTACCTTCAGTGCTGAAATTTGCAGATGCTTAAAGCATCATTAAATCACACGCAAATGACCAATTTGTGCTCCGTTTGCTTCAGGCTTCCCCCCCATGTCCGCTCATTGCCTTTGAAGAGACGAGGGGGCACGGGACCCCACAGAGGTCCTGTTTCTGTGCGGCCAAGTCTCAACAACACTGGGAAATGACTGGCTGGGAACACGCTGCATTCAGAGCTACAGAGGTAAATCGTATTGCTCAATAATGCCAAGTGCTGTTTTCCTGCTATAATTTTCACATTAACATAACATTCACAGAAAGAACTAAGTGATATTTAACAGACCTTTGTCATCCATGCTCTAATCAAAGGCCAGAAAAGTCCTTCAGTTAAGCCTGGTGTGGTCCTGAAAGTAACTGGCTGTTAAGCACCAGCCTGTCTGCTGAATTCCCTTCACCAAACGCTGGATTCCTTAGGTGGTGAACTGCTGAAATCCGAGCATAATGCTTCATGGGGTTTTGCATGAGAAATAAAATCATGGTTGTCTTCTTCAACCAAAACCCATGTTATCATCTTTGCAAATGGACAAATAGCTTGACATAAAATGTGTCATAAAACATAAGCCCCCAGTGGCTTCAACTTCCTGCTGATAAGAGCAAATTTGACACATGCCCTTTGCACTTCCCCCGGCAGGGTCTTCATTCTCCCAACAATGTGACCAGGACGCACTAGTGCCTTCACCAGGTCACGGCCAGAGCCTCCGACTAGGCGTCCTCTGCGTCCCATCGCGCTCCAAACAACGCCACCCCCTGTCTGCTAGGGCTTTCCTCTCCCCTCCTCCTCACACCCACCCTCAAAAGGCACGAATATTTCACAGGTCCAGTTGACTCTGCAGCCTGGCAATCGTGAATTTATAATCATGAATGCCTTGCCTTTAAAAACCAAATTGAAACTATACAGTTTAGTTCTTTTTGTTTTTTGTTAAACTAAGCTGTTGTAAATGTTTTCTCATTAACTGAAAGAGAAACTGTAATAAGTGGCTGAAACTTTAAATAGAGGTTTCTCTTAGCTGCCGCTTTAAGCAAATACTAAGAGGCACTTGGTCTGCAATCTTCTATGTGCTGTGTACTGCTGATTGTGTGGAATGTTCTTTAGGTTTATCAACACACATCAAGACGCCCATAGCCACACAAAAAAAAGAAAGTTGTTAGCTCACCTTTATGACAGCTATCACGATTTTGGAGTCTCCTGCCTGCACAGCTACCGAACTGACTGTTGTCGTAGTCAGCTCCACGCCAGGACTTCCTTGGCTGGACATGGTACTTCAGAACCAGACTTTATACTTCAGGCAGCCTTTGTACAGATGTGCGTCTGCTGGTCATTTCAGAAGGCAACCACGGGGGTTACTTGGATTCATTCAGGGGAAGAGCTCAGCTCGCACTGATTACTCTGCCAGAAGGAAAGAACAGGAGGTTAAAAATAGACAACCCCATTGAGTTTATCATGAGGGAGAGAGAGAGGAGAGCCGGACAGCATCGCCACACCCCTAGTATGGTAACACTGAGTGCCTGTTATTTTTGCCATTATCTTCAATGTAGAGAGGGCAGTTTCTAGCTCTCTTCCTATCAGCTGAGGTTTGATAGCAAATGGGAAAAAATTACGTTCTGACAACCCAAGCAAATTTTCCATTGAATCTATATAGTTATAGTGGGCTTTGAAATCAGACAGTCATTGACCTGGATAGCAACTTCTCAGGACCTTCTGAAGTCTCTTCTATGCAAAGGAAAGCTCCCAAAATGTGCTTTAAAAATAAGTTCTGGTATTTGGTTTGGGGATTAGGCAAGCTACAAAATTGGTTGAAATATATTTTTAGATTAATCTACTTTTCTAAAACTTACTGCCTTTTGTCAAATACAGTTTTTAGGAATAATCACATTTTCTCAGAGACTCACATTTCTTAGAAACATTTAAAAAACATTTCAACAAGCATTTACCAGCACGAACCCACCATTTCAGAATTTCTTCCTGACTACTGTACTCCACTGAATAGCATTTTTAACCTCAGTTATTACAAATACAAAGAAGTATCACACTTTGCTGTTAACTTTCAATGGCAGCAAGAATAACTTTTTGCTTAAAGTTTAACACTATGTATGTTTTTCTACAATGCAATAAAACATGGTACTTCAGATTTGGGTTTTATTCTCCCATTGCCTGTGCAGGAAAATTATAGACAGCTTTGAATGAGAGCCCATGACTGGCATATTGATTCTGTTGCTAGAAACTCAGTGTGTCCCAAGTTGTCTGTGGTATTAAACAGCAGCTGTTGGATCCCTGTCAAAGAACAGCTGAAAATAACACTGATGTGTGGGTTGGAGGTCAGACGCAAACACATCAGAGGTACTGACTCCGATGCTGCTGGAGCCACCAGAAGTCTCTGGGACGAAGCCAGCATGGAAGAGATAGCTAGAAACAGTTAAATGGGTCCACTCACTCTTACACCCTCAGCTCAATTTAAAAGCACATTCAGGTTCAGGACCAATGTTCAGAAGACTGAGTCGGCACCACTGCTTTGTTTTGCTAAGGTTCACGATAACATTCTTGAGTCAAGGTGGGGGGAGTGCGTTTACTTATATTTCAGTATTCGGTGATGATTTTTGTTTTCCAGAGCATGTCATGGCAGCTCCCCAATTATGCAGCTCTGTCCGAGGGTCTGCTCTCAGCACCTGCCTGCTGCTCCAACAAGAGGAGACCAGTCCTGGACTCGACAAACTTCACCTGATGCCACGAAGAGAGCATTGGGAGCAAGCGCAGGAGACTGGATGCCTAGACACCGTGACCTAGAAAATACTGTAAATGGTATCATTTTATGGGAGGGATGGAGAACTTGCAGAGAACTAAACGAAGCTGACCTCTTTGTTGAGGTTGCCTCAATGTTGCAGGCAGGCTCCTTCTGCTTGAGCAAATCATTGGTCCAAATAAACCAAAACAAACTGAATGAAACTAGTTTTCAGCTAATTGCCCTCATGAAAAACCAAGAGTTGACAACTGTGTTACACCCAAAACTAAAATGCTCAAAGGAACATTGCTTAAGTCATTGTGTACATTGCCAATCAGAAAAGCAAACAGCACCCCACACCCAAAACACACAGTGCACTTTCACCCAAAGTTAATCCTATTGTTAAAAACTGAGTTATGTATCATAAATTGCACTACGGTCCTCAGGAAGCAAAGGGGAACTTTTGGCAGCAAGATGCAAAGACTATGGCTAGGGAAAGAGTGGTTATGTCCACAAAGCCCCACTCAAGACAGATGATTGTGTGAAGGGTGTGGAGGGCAGCACGGAATGTGTGGAATTGCAGGTCCAGACCAATGAGAAAGGAGAAGTGAAGAGGAGGGAGAACATGGCTGAAAGTCTGATTAGTCCAAGTTAGTGCTGGTGGGGGGGCAAGGTTAGGAGATGGAGGGATTGAGCAAAAAGGAAAAAGGACCCACGGACATGGACAACAGTGTGGCGATTGCTGGGTGGGTGGGGGTATCAGGGGACTAAATGGCAATGGAAAAAATATAATAAAGGTAAAAAAAAATTAAATAAAGAGCAATAAGAATGAAACAGATTTAAGACTTTGTTAAGAAATGAATCCAGTTATTCACTAGGGAAGATAAGTGTGTTTTTATGTTGATGACCTACCTTTCTGTCAAGTAGATGAAGCATAAATGTAAGTGGTGACCAATTTTTCTTTTTAACTCAAATTCTTGGCTTTAAAATCTTCAAAACACTTGAGTCACTCCCCCCCCCCCTTCCCCTGCTTTCTGTTTTTCTCCTCTTCAACTTTTTCCCCCTCCCCTGCAGGAGCACGGCTGCTCTGGCCTCTCCATCCACATGGAGCCCGTTCAGAACCTTGGCCTGTGATCTTCATCTGGCATAAGATTTCATTATAAACTGCATAATGGACTCTGGCAAGCAGTTTAGAGAATAGTATAAAATCTATTATACCAAAGAAATCAGTACACTGTAATTAAATGGTTTTTTTAAAAAGCTTTTTAAGTTACAGTTTGTTTATATTCTGCCTCTCCCATCATCACCCCACCCCCCCCCCAAAAAAAAAGCCCCAGGAAACAAAACAAAACGGAATACCTTATAGGCATTCTCACATCCTTTGAAGTTTATAGAGGATCTTGCAGAGGATATTAGGCCTTCTATGTTTATACCTCTGGGAAATGCCTGTTTTTATAGCCCCTGAATTTTACTGAAATGTCCTCCATGGGGAATCAAAAAGCTGTACATGGATTCTGTTGAGTTGCAAATAATACTCTTTTTCCTCATTTTTGTTTATTGTGGTAAAATACACATAAAAAATTTACCACCTTAACTGTTTTTAAGCGTATGATTCAGCAGTGTTAAATACATTCATAATGTTGGGCCGTCACCACCTCCACAACGCCTCCAATCTGGTACCACTGAAATTCTGCACCTGCTGAAGTGCTCTCCACCCCCTCCCGTGCCAAAAACCTCTGTCAACCGCCATTTGACTCTCTGTCTCTGTGACTTTGACTACTCTAAGTATTTCATGTAAGTGGAATCATGCAGTATTTTAGTTTTGCAACTGGCTTATTTCACTTACTATAATGTCCTCAAGGTTCATCATATGTAGCATACGAGGGGGTAATTTTCTTCTGACGGGCAGGTCCCTTATAGTACAGGCTCCCCCGCTAGGTGAATGTTCTAGGAACCCTGCTGCATGAGTGTACCAGCTGGCATGGTTGTGAGAGGCTGTGTTTGGCTTCAGTGAATTGTTTTAAAGGCTTTCAGCACAATAGCCCATTTGACGATGGGTGATTTGTAAGTGCACCTGTGCACACAGAGTGTTCAGAAGTTTTTTGACCCCAAACAGCAATGACCCCCACGCCCTATCCTCCCTACTCACCCAGTCTCACCCCATACAACTTTTTCCTTTTGTTTCCCGGGATGAAAATAGTCTTCAAAGGGAAATGTTTGCCGATGTGGAACAGGTGAAACAAAAAAAAGGCAGAAGCACTATAAAAGACATCAAAATTGACGAGTTCAAAAACTGCTTTGAGCAGCGGGAAAAACATCTCAATAGGTGTATTGCATCAAATGGAGAGCACTTGGAAGGTGACTGAAGTTTAAACATGTAAGAATAAAACCACAATATTTAACAAATAAATTCCACATTTTTGGGGTCTTCCCTCATATGTCCAAATTTCCTTCCTTTTTAAGGCTGAATAACATTTCATTGTACATAAGTGTGAGTGTGTATATATGTAAACAAATGTATATGTACATACTTTATCTTTGCAGATCATCTCACAGGGTTGTTGTCAAAATTAAAGGAGTTGATTCACAGAAAGTGCTTAGAAGGGGGCCTGACATTTAGCAAGTGCTATACATGGAGTACGGTACTGGGTGCAGAATTGGTGCTTCTAAATATTGGCTGACTTATTGAATCACATAAGTCATGCAGCAAAAAAGATGGTTTTAATACTACTCATTCGTTATTTATTAATGCAGTCAATAGTTACCGAGCATTTGCTACTTACACATGAGGAGTATACAGTGAGGGAAACCGATGTCCCAACTCTCAAAAAGGTGGCAATTTAAGTGAGAGAAGACACCATAAACAGTGGAATAAATATCAAAATTAAAGTCTACTGTGATGAAAGCTAAGGAGAAAAACAACTTTGTAGTTTAAGTAGATGGAATTACAAAAGGTTACATTTAGAATTTGCCAGAGAAACCAGGAAGCACTTCCAGGAAGCACTTCCAGGGTATTTCTATTGAAATGCAGAGACTAACAGCAATAATAAACTGACAATGATTATAAAACAACAACAAATAAATCATACAATATGGCAAAGGCAATGCATTAGGGGCTGTGAAGTCAGACTGCCTTAACCTCTTTGTGCCTCAGTTTCCTCATTTAAATTGTAGATAATGAAAATACCAACGTCATATGGGGTTGCTGGGAAGATTAAGCAAGACAATATTTGTAAAACACTTATAATAATGCCTGACATATAAGTGGTATTCTGATAGTTAAATATTATTATTTCTAAGATGACAACACTTGTTCAGGGATTTCCTAAATCTAACAGTAACTGCCACAAAATTTGAAATAAGTTTTAAAAATTAAGAATTAAAACATGAACTAATGAATTAGTTCATTCATTAATGAATTAAATGAATGAATTAAAACATATAATGAATTAAAATGTATAATGAATTAAAACATGGTAGATAGCCCCACTGGGTGTGGCTTAGTGGACTTGAGTACCAGCCTGTGAACCAAAGGGTCGCTGGTTCAATTCCCAGTCAGGCACATGCCTGGGTTGCTGGCCAGGTCCTCAGTAGGGGGTGTGTGAGAGGAAACCACACACTGATGTTTCTCCCTGTCTCTTTCTCCCTCCCTTTCCCTCTCTCTAAAAATAAATAAAACCCCTTTTTTAAAAAAGGTAGGCCACCTAAATGAATTAAATATATTAGAAAGACATAAAACATGCATTACCAGAGAGGAAACAATCTCATTATAATCAGAGGGAAAAAACATTTCAGTGAGTTATCCTTTATTTCTGGAATATCATCTTTACCATTCACGTTAGCCCAAGTCTTCTCTAACTCATTCTTTATATCATGTAATACTCCTTCTGGCACTTTCCTGATCTTAGTGAAGACATTCATTTGCCTTGAGGGTTACTACCCTTGCAGATTACAGGCATTCTCACTTAATTGCCATCCATAAGTAAACTGAAGCTGCTCTTTCCTCTTCAAACAGCCTGTTCTAGCCAACAACTAATTTCCGTTGCATGTATTTTTTTGTTCATTCATCAAGTATGATTCAATACCTACTAAGTGTCAGGCACAGTTCTAGATGCCAGGCATACATCAATAAACAAAACAAAGTTTATCTACCGATGACACTTGCTTTCTGGTAGGGGAAACATAATAATCAATCAGGAAATAAAAAGTACAGAAATAGTTATGTCAGATGGAGTGAGTGTTATCAAGAAGGCAGGGCAAGAGAGAGCGTAACCAAGGGCAGGAGTCAGGGCAGGTCTTCAGAACAGATGAGATCTGAGGAAAGATCAGGATTAAGGTGGAGAGCAAGACACATAGGGAAGAACATTCCAAGCAGCTGGGCACGCTTGTTATATTTTAGAAGCGTGCAGGAGGTCGATGTGGCTGGAGCTAAGTGAAGACTGGGAGAAGAAGACGCTGACAGAACAGGAGTCTCTGAGGCGGTGACTAGTTCATGTAGGGCCTTCTAGGTGCCTGATGCCCTGATTCGCTGGGACAACCATGGTTTAAACCAGTCGTCCTGGCATAATTACTCTTAAGGCCCCTTTCACTCTCAAAATAGTCCCATTTGAAGGACAAATTAGGTGGTAACCCTGCACTTAAGCCAAGGTAAGGACTTTGGATTTTATTTTGAGTGAGATAGGTTGCTATTGCAGGATTGTTATCCAAGGAATGACATCATCTGACTTAACATGGTAGGAAACTCTGTGGGGAGAGACTGTAGGAGTGGAGAGTGAAAGCAGGAGGTTGGATGAATTCCACAGCACGCGAGCCATAAATGCCAGCACAGCGCTCTACTGGGATGCTTCTTTATGGCCACTTAAATTTTATTTCAGAAGAGTAATGTATCCAAAATATCATGACTCCTTTTAACAGTTAATCTCATATATTTCCTTATAATTAAACATGTTTAACGACATATAAATCCTTAGCCTCTCCGTAAGACCTGGGGGCAGAATTAAAAAACAACTTTTATAACCAGCAGATTTCCCTTCTATAAGTGGTAAGAAAAACAAAACAAAACAAAACAAAATTTGGGCAATTTCAAAGAATACTTGGTCAAAGATCAAAGGTGGCAGTATTTATTATCATTTTAAGCAATGGTTTACCAAAAATAATGTGTTAAATGATATATTTGTTCAGTTATTATCTATATTTTTTCTTGAAAATTATTTAGAGCAATGTACAATCTGGAAAACTG